GAAACAAGACAAGGTCCACCACCAGGATGAATATGTGTACTGGAAAAGTGAGTAAAGAGAAAGTAAAAGGGAGGATGATGAAAAGGAATAATAATAATAATAAAACAACTACTACTAATAATAATAACAACAATCACAACAACAACAATACTACAACTATTACTACTACTAACAACAACAAAAAATACTACAACTATTACTACTACTAACAACAACAAATAATACTACAACTATTACTACTACAACAACAACAACAATACTACAACTATTACTACTACTAACAACAAATAAATAATACTACAACTATTACTACTACTAACAACAACAACAATACTACAACTATTACTACTACTAACAACAACAACAATATTCACAACCATTACTACTACTAACAACAACAACAATAATAAACTACTACTACTAAAAAAACAACAACAATACTACAACTATGCTCACTACCAACAACAACAACAACAATACTACAACTATTACTACTACTAACAACAACAACAATACTACAACCATTACTACTACTAACAACAACAACAATACTACAACTATTACTACTACTAACAACAACAACAATAATTACAACTATTACTACTACTAACAACAACAACAACAATACTCACAACTATTACCACTACTAACAACAACAACAATACTACAACTATTACTACAATAAACAACAACAACAATACTACAACTATTACTACTACTAACAACAACAACAATACTACAACTATTACTACTACTAACAACAACAACAACAACACTACAACTATTACTACTACTAACAACAACAACAATACTACAACTATTACTACTACTAACAACAACAACAATACTACAACTATTACTACTACTAACAACAACAACAATACTACAACTATTACTACTACTAACAACAACAACAATACTACAACTATTACTACTACTAACAACAACAACAATACTACAACCACATTACTACCAAACAACAACAACAACACACAACTATTACTACTACTAACAACAACAACAATACCACAACTATTACTACTACTAACAACAACAACAATACTACAACTATTACTACTACTAACAACAACAACAACAATACTACAACTATTACATACTAAACAACAACAAACAAAAAATACTCACAACTATTACTACTACTAACAACAACAACAAATACACAACTATTACTACTACTAACAACAACAACAATACTACAACTATTACTACTACTAACAACAACAACAATATTACAACTATTACTATTACTAACAACAACAACAATAACCTATAAACAAAAACAAACCCACAACATTACTTCACCCTGCTCACCTTCCTCCTCCCTCTCTCTCTCTCCTCACATAGGAAAATTATAGGACAGCCCTGAGATCCTCCGTAATCTAAACCCTCCTGAAGAAAGCACCAAGAAGGCGGACGTGTACCTTCGCCATCATCGTCCACGAGATCGTCTACAGGATGGGGGCGCTTTATGTGAGGAACGAGGTCCGACGCCGCAACGTGAGTACAAGTAGCATTTTATTTCGTTCTGTATTTATAGCTACCTTACCTTACGGGATTAACGAGGATTTATTTTTATTTATTTTATCCCGGTGAAAAGGAATGTTCTCCACCGCCGCTAGTCCAAGAGTTAATCCCAGTAATCCTTTGGTTATTTGAAGGATATTGCAAAAAGTATTAATTATATTCTAGCTGTAGGATTTATGAACCGTCTTATCTTAATCCCCGGAGATTTTTACATATACTTTGAAAGGAATTAAGGATTAATGATGATTCTATAAAAGAGATTTTAAGAAGCGTATTGTTAATCTTCAATGATTTTTTTATTTCAAGGATTATTTTGTTTAATTGTTGAGAGAGTATTAGGTGCAAAAATCCCAAAGGTGATTTATTATATTTTATCGAGTGAATGATAATACTTCATCTGTATGTGTATGTATGTATGTAATGTAATAATAATAATAATAATAATACAATTAACGGTTTATTGAAGAGCTTAAGCCAGAAGGCTGAAAATATACAGTTACATATTTGGGGAAAAATATTGAATTACAAATAATATATACAAGTGACATATGACAATAAATAAGACATATAGTAACTTAGATGGATCAGCCTCAAAATACAGTTCATTTCAACATAGTGACAGTGTAGGGAGGTGCTTACTGGGAGTGAATACACTGATTTATTACATGTTATTGATAATTTTTACAATGTATGTATATGTATGTATGTATGTATGGTATGTATGTATGTATGTATGTATGTATGTATGTATGTATGTATGTATGTATGTGTAATGTATGTATGTATGTATGTTTCACCTGGCTGGCGGTCCGAGAGGTGCTGGCAGGTAAGTGACGTCCACTGCCCTGAAGGTAAACCTTGTAATTAAATAACTCTTTATAATATTGGTAATTAATTTATATACGAGTTACGGTGTTTATATTACATTTATATGGCGAGTTACGGTGTTTATATTAAATTATAGAGTGAATGTTATATATCGTTCATTCTATATAAATTACTCGTGTTTATAATTAATTGTAACGTTTGTTTTGTTTTTCTTGCTGGTAATTAATTCTTGCCTCGTCTCTTTTTACTTCCAATCAATTTTTTGTAAACTTATCATATTTCTAATCCATCTTTGCATCGGTTTGTGTGTGTGTGTGTGTGTGTGTGTGTGTGTGTGTGTGTGTTTATAAGTGGGCTGGCACTACTTTTACGTTTATAAGTGGGCTGGGGCACTAATTTACGTTTAAGTTAAGCACTACTTTTACGTTTATAAGTGAACTGCGCGGTACATTTGCGCTTTGTAAGTGGGTTGGGCACTACTTTTACGTTTATATGGTCAGCACTTTTTATTACTTTATATAATAGCACTACTTTTACGTTTATAAGTGGGCTGGGCACTACTTTTACGTTTATAAGTGCTGGGCACTACTTTTACGTTTATAAGGGTCAGTAATCACTTTTTGCGTTTATATGAACTGGGCGGTACATTTGCGTTTATAAGTGGGTTGAACACTACTTTTACGTTTATAAGTGGGTTGTATAACTTTTACGTTTATAAGTTTTTAAAAAGCATACTGTGAAGCTGTTGTTTTGAATAAATAATTATTTCATGATCGTGAAAATATGACCGTTTGAGATGTTTGTACTGAGATTCGTCATAAGAGGTTGAGGCGCCACCTGTATGGTACTCTAACCAACTCTGTAACTAACAACCAATACCTACACCTGGATTATATTTTTACCTGTCTAAATCACCTTGAACTACCACTCACTGCACACATAAATTCAGGTCTCTTAAGTTCGTCATATATACAGGTACAGGTGTTACCATCAGGGTTGTGACACTCACTTAAAAGGTGTTGCTTGACGATAAACAAAGAGGCAGGCTGTGTCTATTCCTGGCTCTGTGTGTGTGTGTGTGTGTGTGTGTGTGTGTGTGTGTGAAATGAGAGTAGACGTCTTTGATATCAGTAGATATTTGGTGTGTGTTTTATTTAGCTGTGAAATACATATGAACACACACACACACACACACACACACACACACACACACACACACACACACACACACATTCTGTATACAAGATTTTTTTCCTCCAATCTTCTTGACATAAAAAATCTTCCTCTAACCTCATCACCTCCTCACCTCCTAACCTCACCCACTTCCCTTATTATCTCTTATCCTCACCCTCTCCTCCTTATCCCCACCTGTTCCCTGTCGGCTCACCTGTCCACTTGTCGAAGCTCACCTGTCCCCTGTCGGAGCCACTTCCCCTGTCGGAGCTCACTGTCCCTCTGTCGGAGCTCACCTGACCCTTGTCGGAGCTCACCTGTCCACCTGTCAGCTCACACTTGCACACCTGTCGGAGCTCACCTGTCCACCTGTCGAACCTCACCTGTCCACCTGTCGAACCTCACCTGTCCACCTGTCGGCTCACCCGTCCACCGTCGAAGCTCACCTGTCCACCTGTCGGAGCTCACCTGTCCACCCAAGGAGAAATTCGTCTCTTGAAAACTTACTGCGGAAAACAACATCATCCCCCCACACAGCTAATGTTATTATCCCGGTTTAGGTCATGTTACGAGGGTGGTGGTATATGGAGTTAAATTTTTTGACCGTCTAAGCATTTGTTTGTTGTTTGTGTGGTATCTAGATGATGTTTTGCCGCCATAGCCAGTTTTCTCTAAATCAGACGTTGTTAGGTTAGGTCAGGTCAGGTCTGTTAGGTTAGTGTAATCTTGCTTCTGACACTGAGTAGAAGTTTTGGTCGTAGTTGTGTTATTTACCTGAGTTATGACCTCGTTGTTTCGCTTATGAGGTTTTAATGAGAGGCAAATTTCACCTGTATTAATTATCTCTCTCCTCAGTGTCTATCTATCTATCTATCTATCTATCTATCTATCTATGTATCTTTCATCTATCTATCTATCTATCTATCTATCTATCTATCTATCTATCTATCTATCTTCCCTGAAACACTGCCTCCTCTCCACAAATATATTTATACTGAAGAACAAGATTCTTCTAATCCACCTGTTCCCCAACCAGGTGGATAATTGGGAGTCGCATGACGACCAGGTTCACCAGTAGGCACAAGTTGCTAGTTTTATGAAGATTCACTATTATGCTATTATAAGGAGTGAAATGTAGTCTCTGATGGTGGCTAGGTGTGTGTGTGTGTGTGTGTGTGTGTGTGTGTGTGTGTGTGTGTGTGTGTGTGTAATCCCAGATAATTTTTACACCATTTCCATATTAATATCTGTACACCTGTATGTATACCTGTACTTGTATGTATACCTGTACTTGTATGTAATCGTGTAATTTGTATGTATACCTGTACTTTGTATACACCTGTACTTGTATGTATACCTGTACTTGTATGTAATCGTGTACTTGTATGTATACCTGTACTTGTATGTAATCGTGTACTTGTATGTATACCTGTACTTGTATGTACAACTCGTAC